CGTGGGCTCGTTGTGACCGAGGCTTTAGGGGGTAGAAGATGTAGCACTAGCAGGCGGTGTAGTATGCTAGTTGTAACAGTCTGCATGTGATTCTCATTCAATCCAATGCACCAATGTCTCCTGGCTAAATTTCTGTTCGTCTTGAAGACATCTTCACTAAAAAAATGAATGAAAATTTTATTAAAAAATATTTTAATGAAATTTTAGATATTGTATTGAGGAATAATCGTGTTTTTTTGCGTTTTGCAACGTCTCTGACCTTGCATGCATTTTTTACTAGAAAGAAATTGCCTTGGCTGACTTTGAAAAAAAAATTCTGTAAAACGCCTTGCTGCCAAAGAATTCGTCATTCGTTCTAGCTGGCGATTTCTTTTTTTCGTGCATGTAGTTTTTGGTTCTAACACAACTAACCGTTGATTGAAGAATTTTATCGGATCTTAATAGTTCACATAAAAATAAGTTTATCTCAGTTAGATCCAAAATAAGTTATAATTACTTGCAATGACGAAATTTTTGTCCATCTCTCCGATAGACTTCCTTTCTCTATATGAATGAATCCTTTGCCTATCGGAGAGATGGACGAAAATTTCGTCGTTGTAAGTAATTATAACTTATTATCAGAAGTAGATAATAGGGAATTATCTCTATTATCTACTTCTGTTATTATGGATCTAACTGAGATTAACTTATTTTCATGACAACTAAGTGAACTAACCGTTATCAGTACATGACCGTAGAAGAGAGTACATGATAATTTTATTCGTGCTACCTACACGGATGATGTGCTTGCTCCTTGTGTGTTATTGCACCAAAGATTGCCGTGTTTCCCAGCTTTCCTAGTTTTAAGTCTGATAAGATTGTTGCGCGTGTGCCTCATCATTGCATTTCAGTTCTGCGTAGTTCGTATGAGTAACTGTGTGTGTGTGTGTATGTGGGTGTATGTGTGTGTATGCGTGCATGTGTGCGTGAATAAGTGTGTATGCGTGTATGTCTGAGTGTGTTGTGTGTGCATGCTTGTGTTATGCATCCGTGTGCGTGTGCGTGTATGCATGTTCTGCACGTGTGCGTGCATATGTGTGCGTGCGTGCGTGTGCGTGTGTGCGTGCATGTGCGTATGTGTGAATGTGTGCGTGTGCGTGCGTGTGTGTGTGCGTGTGCGTGTGTAGGTCTGAGTGTGTTGCGTGTGCGTGCTTGTGTTATGCATCTGTGTGTGTGTGCGTGCGTGCATGCGTGTGTGTGTGCGTGCGTGCGTGCGTGCGTGCGTGTGTGTGTGCGTGTGTGTGTGCCTATGTGCGTGCGTGCGTGTGTGTGTGCCTATGTGCGTGCGTGCGCGCGTGCGTTCACCCATCTGTGAGTCTCCGTCACCCGCCCCGCCTCCATCTCTACTTTCAGTTTGGCGCGAGCGGCACGCTCCCTCTCCTCATGGAGCTCTGCATCCGCGGCCTCACCGTAGACATGAACCTCTACGACACGCTGCGGCGCGCCGGTAACCGCGGCAACGCCGGAGGAGGA